AGAGGTGAGACGTAGGCCACTAGGAGAGGTAAGAACTCAGATGTTGAGAGGTCAGGTCCCTCTCAAATCCAGCCCCTCTCACTAGTGGAAGTTGTCGAAGTTGATTGCAGGTCTGTACCAAGATACCCTTGTGTTGCAATTATGACAACGTTTCGCTCAGTTCTGAGCATTAAGTCTGGCAACTATCTCTGTTACCAGTCAAGCTATAAGCCAGGGCAGTCAGGCACTATGGTTATTGTCAAGTAGTGTGGCTTATTGTCAAGTAGTGTGGCTTACTGTCAAGAAGAGTGGTTTATTGTCAAGTAGTGTGGCTTGTTGTCAAGTAGTGTGGCTTACTATCAAGCAGAGTGGCTTATTGTTAAGTAGTGTGGCTTATTATCAAGTAGTGTGGTTTACTGTCAAGTGGTGTGGCTTACTGTCAAATAGTGTGGCTTATTGTCAAGCAGAGTGGCTTACTGTCAAGTAGAGTGATTTATTGTCAAGTAGTGTGGCTTACTACTAAGCAGTGTGACTTATTGTCAAGCAGAATGGTTTATTGTCAAGTACTGTGGCTTACTGTCAAGTAGAGTGGCTTACTGTCAAGTAGTGTGGCTTATTGTCAAGCAGATTGGCTTATTCTCCCCTCTGTCTCCCCTTCGTCAGGGTCACGCCTTTCTCGCCTCCATTAGCTGAAGTACGAGGAGAGGGGAGAGAAAAAGGGGAAAGTGAGGAGAGAGAGAGAGAGAGAGAGAGAGAGGAAAGAGTGAGTAAAGAGAAAGGGAAAGAGAGAGTACGTGTTCATGGCTCCTCTTGTGCCGTGGAAAAGGTCAAACCTGCTCCCTTCCTGTCTCCCTTTCCCCCCTCTTTCAGCCGAGAGGAAGGGGTTGACGGGGTGAGGGGAGAGGGGGAAGCAGTAAGTGTGCGTGACGGCCCTCCTTCCCCTCTCTCCCCTCACCATAAAGACTCATTTGCATTGAGGATCTTTAACTAGGCTGGAGGTGGGCGTTGTGGGTGGGGTGATGTGGGTTGGGTGGGGTGGGGTGATGTGGATTGGGTGGGGTGGGGTGGTGTGGGTGGGGAGGGCGGTTAAGTGGGGTAAGGTTGGTTCATCCGTCGATATTGAGAAAATGTTTTTGTCTGCCTAACTAGAACCCGGTAATCCATCACTCACCCATTCATTATTCACCCATTCATTATTCACCCGTCCATCGATCACCCATAAGCCATTCACCTATCGACCATTGACCCATCCTTTATTTATATATCTACCATTCATCTATCCATCACTCATTCATTATTCACCCATCCCTCATCCATTCATCACTCACCTTCATCATTCACCCATCTATCTCATCCACACCTAATTCATAAATTACCCTATTAACTCATCAAAATATGAAATGAGAAAGAGAAAAAGAGAAGAAAAATAAAATAAAAGAAGAGAAGGAAGTATGAGAAAGAGGAGGAAGAAGAGATGGAAGAGGAGGATGTAGAATAAGAGGAGGTGGAAGAGAAGAAGGTAGAAGAGGAGATGAGTCAGAAAATGAAAATATGCAAGAGAAGAAGGAGAAATAGGGAGAAACGATGAAGATCGAGACTAAGAAACGAAGTTTCACTCATTCCACTGACATCCTTTGGGTAAAGACAGACGTTTCAGCCAAACGATGATATTGCAGACAACATTTCACTCCGTGTACATCTTTCTCAAGGCACTAACTTGATAAAGGTCTACACAGAGCGAAATGTTCTCCCAATAAAAAAAAAAGGTTGGTTATGCAGAGTCTTGTCATTACTAACTATATTAAGACGGTGTGGGTTGTCATGTCCAGTTCTCTGGATCATGAGTCCCTCACCGGTGTCAAGGGCTCAGGAAGACCTCTTCAGAGAAGCAGGCAAACGAAGTTCAGCAGCTCTAGTGTAACAAAAGATCAACGAAGTGCCGTTAACCAGACTTTGATGTGCAATTGATTAATGCATTATAAATTGATGTCACCTGCTTGAAGTCACTTTCTACTTTCACTGCTGCTACTGCTACATGTACTATTAATAGTGACTCTTCTGCCGCTTCCAGAAGTGTTATTAACAGTTCACAGTCTGCTACTTCTACAAGTTCTAAAAACAGCGGGTCTTCTTTTACTTTATAAGTGCTGTTACTAGTGGGTCTTCTGTTACAAGTACGTGTACAGTTCACAGTGTATCATCTGTTGCTTTTACAAGCTCTGTTAACTTGTCGATGTTCTGTACAAGTACGTCTACAGCTCACAGTGTATCATCTTCTAATTCTTGAAGTACTGTTCGTACAGGAACTTTCGCTGCTGCTGCTTTAAGTACTAATCGTGGTGAAGATATGGCCTGTGCAGAGCAAGTTTTGACTGTGACAACGTTTCGCTCATTGGAAAGCTATATCAAGTCAATATAAAGAATATAATAGCATGCATGGCTGATAATTGGTATTAAAAATACAACAAAAGGAAACTTTTATTAGCACAGCGTTTCACTTAAATGAGGTTTTATCAAATATCAGTAAAGCCTCGTGTAGGTGAGACGTAATAATAAGTCTTGTTTTAGCTGTTTCTTTTTAAGCTGGAAGGTGTAGTGTGCGCAGGTTAGATCCCAGTAAAGGTGAGGTCAGGTGTTAGGACATGTGAGGAGGAAGGTGAGCAGTGATGTTAGTAGAGGAACCGTGCAAGAAGCCTAGAGGTTAACAGCATGTTAACAGCATGTACATCTGCTAATTTTGTAGAAGTGTTGACTGGTTGAGTTTCTGTTGCTATATCACTGTGTGCCAGCAGTTTACCAAGACAAAATAAGTAGTAATTCGGCTCAGCGGTACTTTGAGTTCCACCTCCAGACTTCCATGAGTTTCATTTGTATATCTGAAGACAATTCTGGCATTTTTCCACAACATTCTGGCTGCTGTGTCTCGGTTTGGTGAGGTAGATGGCACTGAAGGTGAGGATAACACTTGTCCCACTTTCACGAAGAACCTCTGTGATATCTGCTGTTTACCCTCTGAAAAATGTGACATGTCAGTGTCATTTTCTTCAAGGAAGCAGAAAATCTTTTGACGTTTGAAACCTACGCGGTGGGAAGATGTCTCTAATGGTGTTGCATTCCTCTTCCAGGAATTGAGTTCTCCCTATTTTGTAATAAGCTCTTAAGAAATAATCCTATTTAAGATACCACTTATGATTTTCTTAATGAAAAAATGACAATATGCCAGGTTATTTTCACTGGTATATCTTAAGCAAGTCTTGTTTGGTGAGTTGAACATCAAGAAAGAAATGATAATGCTCTGTTCTTCCTCGAATGTGTAAACTGAACGAAGGTCTTCACTGCAATGAGGATCTTCTAGAAGTTCTCTACGTTGAATCATCTGAATGTGATAATGAGAACGTCGCCCCAGTAACACGACTACGTGATAGATGAAGGGGTGATGGTCAAAAATGCTCAGCCTCTAGGATCACATACTATAGGGATTTGGAGGAGCCGCATTGATGGGGGATTTACGACAGCCGTGCCGAAACCTCAATCCGTTAAAGGAGTTATTAAAAGAAGAAACGTTGACGCTTACACGGTTTTCAGTTAGGTTCTCAGAATCCTGGCAAGGCCTGGGTCGTTCCAAGAGCGGTCTCATTCTGCCATTGCAAGTACTGTGAATAAGATGACATCAGGCTCCAATTTCTTATTTCTCAACACTGTTACAACTTTCATATTATTATTACTGAGAGAAAGAAAACAAGACAAACTAAGATAGAATGGCGTGACGACAGGCAAATCCCCACCTTCCCTAACTTTACATTACTGAGGCAAATGTCACCTGCATAATGTTGTAGGGACGCGTGGAACATTACCGAAGGTATACTACCAATCAGTCTCGCTCTCAGCACCGTGCTTCACAGTGTACTTCCTCCCCTTGGTGTATTCTCTAGCTGTGCTCCACAGTGTACTTCCTTTCCCTGGTGTATTCCCTAGCCTTGCTCCACAGTGTACCTCTTATCTCTGGTTTATTCGTGTGCCGTCCTTCTTAGTATATAAATATATTCTCGTACCGTGCCCCTCCTGTTATCTCGTTTGCGTGAGTGACTCCAATGCATCCCAGATGAATCCATTTCATCGCTTTGGAATGCCCAAGTCGAGAAGTGACTTAGCAAATCTGGGTGAGGAACTTATCTTCCCTTTGCTGCGTCAGCTGTCTGGCGTGGTGCTCAGATTTTTCACATGGTACTCAATGACTATTTTCTTTGACACTTCCATTTGTTCTATCCAATTTATTTTAAATTACGTTAATATACGTTATGTAATGCTAGGTTAGGCTTCCTTAAGTTAAATCTAAATGCTTAGGGGACACACAGGCCTGGGGAACGAGAGGCAATAGCAATTGATTCTTGGATCAAGAGCCCTTAGCCAACATCATTTAACCCTTACCAGTCATCTCTTCCCTGACGAAGATCTTAACAGAATAACGTTTAGACAAATCCTTGAGTGGGAATGGTTGTGTGTGACTAAGACCAGCCTAGCATGGACCTAGGATGAACAAGTAGGAATAATGCAGTGTTGGGTTTGAACAGAACTTTCCTACCAGGGGCCAAAAACTAACTAAAGGTGTACAATAACAAAAGTCGACATGTGGTAATTTCAGACACTTTCAATAGAAATTTTTTTGATTATGCGACATTTCATCATTAGTGGGGTTTTAACTACGTCACCCACAGTGATGCTTCGTCAAGTACTTGATTAAACCCACTTTGGGCGAAACATCGTATAATAACTTTCCCTGTGAAAAAAGTTTGTTTGAAAAAAATACCAGTCTAAATAAGCTCCCTTTACCGAGTTCAGTTAAAAAAGCATGTTTCTATTCAATTATACTGAGTGAGGAATTAGACACGTGTCTAGATAAATGTGCAACAGTTGTTGCACATATGTCTAATTGCTCACTCTGTGTCTAATTCTTCAACTTGTCGGTATTACATACCGACAAGTTGATGCTATGATATACTGAATGAGTTAATCCTGAACAGACTCGACGTTGATGCTTGGTATTGGTCAACCTCGAGTAGCGCTGACACGAGGTCTCCATCCCTCACTCTCACTTCCTCACTACCCACTCACCTGCTGCTCACCCTCACTCAGAAAGAGGTAAGTCATACAGGATTTGAGTAGTAGTAGAAGTAGAAGAAGTAGCAATAGCAATAATAGTATTAGCAGCAGCAGTAGTAATATTAGTAATAGCAGCAGAACTTGTACCCTGTACATTTGCTCTGACTACTTTCCTGAGACTACAATTACTGCATTGTTTCGTGCAGAAATATGCAAAACCACCACATGGGAAGCTGAATGATAGCTCTAGGCTTTTCGTGTTGCAATCGACACATCTTCAGGAGCTTGCAGTGTTGTACATTCACATACATACATACATACACATATACATTCACATACATACACATACATATACATATATAAATAAACATATATATATATACACATGATACATCGTGACGGTAGTTTAGTAATTTAGAAGGAAATTTAATAGAGCGCCGAAATTAGTAGATCACTAATGGACTCTAGCCACACCCTGTGTGTGTGTGTGTGTGTGTGTGTGTGTGTGTGTGTGTGTGTGTGTGTGTGTGTGTGTGTGTGTGTGTGTGTGTGTGTGTGTGTGTGTGTGTATGCGTGTGTGTGTGTGCGCGCGCGCGCGTGCAAGTGTGGACTGAGCTTCGACTCCTGGACCCTGCTTCTAAACTCTCTTGAAGAGCCTATTTTCTAATTTAATTTCTTTTATTAGTCTCTCTTGTTCACATCATTAAGAAAATATTGATTAATATACGTGCAGATTTGAACGTTGCGTATATTCGCCTAGACACTCCGCTGTCATTAGGTAAGACACATATGCAACAGTTAGGTATCTTTATTATGAAACGTTTCATAATAAAGATACCTAACTGTTGCATATGTGTCTTACCTAACAACCTGTCGGTATTTTATACCATTTTAATGTTCACTCCGCTGTCAGCCAAGTGGTGTACAACTTTCCGCATAATTCGTTATCCAGGTTGTTGCAAGCATTACTTACGTTCCTTGTATCGACGATGTTACCTAGAACCTTAGCTTCAAATTGGCATTTAGTCTCTGACCTTCTCTTTCCTTTCCCGTCCTCCAATATAAACAAAGTCGGTAGGTTTATTAACGATTTAAGCAGTGACGATGTCTCCCGCTCTGCCAAACGTAAATTGCCCGTTTACGGATTTTCGTAAATTTAGTTAGGTTTATAAGGAAGAGTTTGTCGCCAATAAAACAGACACTGGTGTTTCTTAAAACAAATTTTCTCATTTAGAAAGAATTTGTTTTAAGACTCAACTTATTTGTGAATACTAAAGAAAACTTGTAAATATCACATTTGGTACTCCTCGGTGCCTGCTACCTCACCTCGGTGCCTGCTACCTCACCTCGGTGCCTGCTACCTCACCTCGGTGCCTGCTACCTCACCTCGGTGCCTGCTGCCTCCCCTCGGTGCCTGCTACCTCACCTCGGTGCCTGCTACCTCACCTCGGTGCCTGCTACCTCACCTCGGTGCCTGCTACCTCACCTCGGTGCCTGCTACCTCACCTCGGTGCCTGCTACCTCACCTCGGTGCCTGCTACCTCACCTCGGTGCCTGCTACCTCACCTCGGTGCCTGCTACCTCACCTCGGTGCCTGCTGCCTCCCCTCGGTGCCTGCTACCTCACCTCGGTGCCTGCTACCTCACCTCGGTGCCTGCTGCCTCCCCTCGGTGCCTGCTACCTCACCTCGGTGCCTGCTACCTCACCTCGGTGCCTGCTGCCTCCCCTCGGTGCCTGCTACCTCACCTCGGTGCCTGCTACCTCACCTCGGTGCCTGCTGCCTCCCCTCGGTGCCTGCTACCTCACCTCGGTGCCTGCTGCCTCCCCTCGGTGCCTGCTGCCTCCCCTCGGTGCCTGCTACCTCACCTCGGTGCCTGCTACCTCACCTCGGTGCCTGCTACCTCACCTCGGTGCCTGCTGCCTCCCCTCGGTGCCTGCTGCCTCCCCTCGGTGCCTGCTACCTCCCCTCGGTGCCTGCTACCTCACCTCGGTGCCTGCTACCTCACCTCGGTGCCTGCTACCTCACCTCGGTGCCTGCTGCCTCCCCTCGGTGCCTGCTACCTCACCTCGGTGCCTGCTGCCTCCCCTCGGTGCCTGCTACCTCCCCTCGGTGCCTGCTACCTCACCTCGGTGCCTGCTACCTCACCTCGGTGCCTGCTACCTCACCTCGGTGCCTGCTACCTCACCTCGGTGCCTGCTACCTCACTTCGGTGCCTGCTACCTCACCTCGGTGCCTGCTGCCTCCCCTCGGTGCCTGCTACCTCACCTCGGTGCCTGCTACCTCACTTCGGTGCCTGCTACCTCACCTCGGTGCCTGCTGCCTCCCCTCGGTGCCTGCTACCTCACCTCGGTGCCTGCTACCTCACCTCGGTGCCTGCTACCTCACCTCGGTGCCTGCTACCTCACCTCGGTGCCTGCTACCTCACCTCGGTGCCTGCTACCTCCCCTCGGTGCCTGCTACCTCACCTCGGTGCCTGCTACCTCACCTCGGTGCCTGCTACCTCACCTCGGTGCCTGCTACCTCACCTCGGTGCCTGCTACCTCACCTCGGTGCCTGCTACCTCACCTCGGTGCTGCTACCTCACTCGGTGCCTGCTACCTCACCTCGGTGCCTGCTACCTCACCTCGGTGCCTGCTGCCTCACCTCGGTGCCTGCTGCCTCCCCTCGGTGCCTGCTACCTCACCTCGGTGCCTGCTACCTCACCTCGGTGCCTGCTACCTCACCTCGGTGCCTGCTGCCTCCCCTCGGTGCCTGCTACCTCACCTCGGTGCCTGCTACCTCACCTCGGTGCCTGCTGCCTCCCCTCGGTGCCTGCTACCTCACCTCGGTGCCTGCTGCCTCCCCTCGGTGCCTGCTGCCTCACCTCGGTGCCTGCTACCTCACCTCGGTGCCTGCTACCTCACCTCGGTGCCTGCTGCCTCCCCTCGGTGCCTGCTACCTCACCTCGGTGCCTGCTACCTCCCCTCGGTGCCTGCTACCTCACCTCGGTGCCTGCTACCTCACCTCGGTGCCTGCTGCCTCCCCTCGGTGCCTGCTACCTCACCTCGGTGCCTGCTGCCTCCCCTCGGTGCCTGCTAGCTCACTGACTCGGTAAATTGCAATCAACACGTTAGTTTAATATCTTTCTTGTGCAACCTACGCTCATCCTCTGGGTAGCAGTCAAACTATTACAGACGCACATAATGGGTGAAGGGACCCGGACCGGGACGCAGAGTTCTGATAACTAAGCAAATTATAATCGTATATTTGCATGGGGAGCTGTTTTGTTTGGTGTTAAGATTTCGTTCAGATTTTTAACCCTGGAGGGTTAGCCACCCAGGATAACCCAAGAAAGGCAGTGCGTCATCGAGGATTTTCTCTCTCTTATTTCCATTGGGGTCCTCAATCTTGTCCCCCAGGATGCGACCCACACCAGTGGACTAATACCTAGGTACCTACTTGCTGCTAGGTGAACAGGGCAACAGGTATAAGGAAACTTCGAAATGTTTCTACCCAGCCGGGAATCGAACCCGGGCCCTCCGTCTGTAAAGCGAGACCTTTGCCATTCAGGCCACGGGGTCCGGGTTCTCAATTTTCTTAGACCAAACCTGATTACCTGCCATTCCCCAGACCCCATCTGATCATGAATAAAATAATAATAATAAATTTTGCCCAGTATTCTAGACGTGATACGCGATTACACTAAAAATGAGATGTTTGAAATGTTACTGAAAACTGAGATATCTGAAATATTTCCGAACCTAGAAGTGCTGAAATAAGAAAAATAATTACTTAGGAACACGAGTGCAGAGTTGGAATTTAAAATCACGAATGATTCACAGGGATGTCAGGAAGTATTTCTTCATCCTGAGGGTGGTCAAGAAGAGCAGTGACCTGGAAGAAGACAGGTTTCATAAATAGATTTAAGGAGAGGTGTGACATGGCAAGAGGCAGGGACGAGATCTGAGACTTTGCTACTACAACCACGTACAGGTGAAATAAGGGAGTACACGTACACACACGTACATACATACACACACAAATGGTCACTCACACACACACACACACAAAAGGTAATTGCAAATATTAATTGCACTCGACCATTACAAACCTCCCTCAGCACATCACAGCCTGAACGACCTCCAATCACTATCTCTTCTCCGACAGCCGAGATGGGTACTCTGGTCGGCCACTTGGTTCCGGGCACCTTCTTCGTCCTGTTCGGCGTTTGGTTCACCTACCGAGTGTTCCTGAGGTTCTTCATGTGTCAGCGGGCAGGGGCGGTGCTGGGCAGCAAGGGTCGTGTCCTCTACCGCAACACCGTCACCTTCCGCTGCGGCTGCTCTCCGCAGCTTCCTCTCGAGGGCATTCTCAAGATCGCCGCTGCCGCCGTAGGCATGACGGGTGAGGGTAGAGGAGCGTACCTTCATTAATAATAATATAATATCTTTATTTCTACAAGCACATGTACAAAGTATACAGACCGAGCTGACATCAATGACATACTACTATATAGAAAGCTCCTGGTTATGCAAAGCATTTCAGGCAAATTAGGTCAATTTTTCCCCCAGGGTGCGACCCCACACCAGTTGACCAACACATATGTACCTGGTTTACTGATAGGTGAACAGTGACGGTAGGTGTCTTAAGGAAACACGTCCTAATGTTACCACTCGTACCGGGGATCGAACCTCGGACCTCAATGTGTGAGGTGAGTGCCCTAGCAATCGAGTTATGATTGCTCTCTCACACACTCTCTCTCTCTTCCCCCTTTTCGGTTTCTCGGCATCTCTGCCATTCACGTCTTTTCTCTTGTCTTCGATTCTCTGCTTCTAGTTCTTATTTCTTTACTCCTCTGTTTCTTGTTGTCTCTTTAACACTTTCATTAATAGATTTTCCGTGCATTTCCAAGCTATTCTTTAAGCTTTTCCTCATTTCTTCGAAAACACTGAAACACCGAAGCTTATTTACTGTACATATGTACAGTAAATAAGTTTATGGAGTCTCATAAACCATCACACTTTTTCTGTCCTATTCTGTCTCCATTTTTACTGCCCCTTTTCCGCATCATTCCTTCTTTCTACCTTTTTTTTTTTCATTTTTATCTTTGTCTTTCACATCTCGGCCATTTTTTTCCCATCTGCTTAATTGAAGATACATGTTTTGTTGATGTAGTTTCTGTACCATTGCTACTTTTAACTCTTGTGTTGACGCTCAGGTGAATGTGCCACAGCGTTCGAGGGAGGCAAATTCAAAGCCATTGGAAACGCCCAGCACATGACCATGTTCTTCTTCTTCGGGCTGAGCGGCGCCGTGGACGTTCTCACCCACTACAGAGTCCCTCTCCCACCGGATATGGACTTTGTCGCTGCCATCCTAGCCTTCTCCATGGAAGCTCTCCTCTTCTACTACCACCTTCACGGCAGGAGTCCCATGGATGTGCAGGTGAGGGGCTACAAGGCAATGGTTTGATTTTAATTAAGCACCTACAGCGTGCGGTAGGCCTATTTTGTGTGTTTATAAGCATGGTGGGAACATAAGCTAGCTGTGCTACCCTGTCATTCCTCGTCGCATAAGATAGCTTTTACCCATGAGGTTAGGAGTTAGGAGACGTTAGTAAAGCTGTGAGAATAACCCCAAGCATTCTACTATGGGTTCATTATCTATGTAACTTTCAAAGCATTCCTTCCAGTAGACCTGATGATACTGTTTATTGCAAATGACCTTATCACAAGAAGGCCTGTATTACACCCGGGTAAACTAGAATTTGCATATCACTATAAAAAAGGAAAAAAAAATATATACATATGCACAAAATATATATTTATATATATGCAGAATATATATATGCACATATAAATGAGCATGACATACATTACTCTCTGATCGCGGGTTCAAACCCCACCCGTGGTATGGTTCATGACATACATTATATGTTTACAAGGGAATAGGGTCAGTGGGTTTCATAATGCGCTCATCACATATATTATTATGAGATGGAAGGATGCAGAGGTGAGAATGGAGGAGAAGCAAAAGTGAGAGTAGATGAGAGCATAAAGGGGATAATAGGGTATGATGCGAGTGGAAGGAAGAGTGAAGGTGGTCAGGAGTTTGATGGCTCATCTTAATTAAGGCAGTTGATGTTAATTAAAGTTATGGCCTCCTCGACCTTACCATATTTACTCTAAAAACTACGGAATTTTCCTCGCCCCTAGTCATTTCATTTTTCTACCACCCTGAAAGGGAAGACGTGGGTCCTAATATCAATATAGCATTGCAAATTTTCACCTGTGTTTACTTATTCCTAACAGTGTAAGGTGCTAAAACGTTTGCTGTTATAAACGCACTAATGCCTGATTAAAAACTTTGTGCACACCTCTGATAGGTAATAACTGTGTGCATACCTATCTCAAATACTAACGAGATGTGTACGCCTGTCACAGGTACACATGCTGTTGTTCTACGTAGTGGTGGGATGTGCTGTGGCCTCCACACTGGAGATGTGCTACAAGAACAATGTTCTGCCTGCCCTATGTCGCTCCTACTTCACCCTCCTACAGGTGAGTCCTACAGAAGGGCAGCGAGCAGAGTGAAGAGGGTAGAAGAAACAGGAGAGAAAAGAAGAAAAAAAGAAGAAAAAAAAAGACGGAGGAGGATATATCAACGACACTCATTTCGCACGTTAATAAATCTGATTATTAGTATTATTATTACATTGACGGGGAAGTGCTAATTCAAATTTCATATGTTTATTTCTTTGATGAGATACACAGGTAATGTAGTTTACGTTCAATAAAATGCATAAAAATACCATAGTGAAAATGGGAAATAAAACTTGAGCACTTTTATGTGCCGACACACACATCGTTACAAATTTTCACTGTGGTATTTTTACGTATTTGTAATCATGCGTTTTACTGTGATTTCTTCCATGTAATAAAATATTGCTAGGTAAAAAAGAACGCCATGAGTATGCAATGCATCTCGGGCAGAAGTTACATAAATCTTGGTGATCTAAGGCCATTAATAATCATCAAGGTGGCCCCTCCTTGAAAGAGTAAATAAGATATTATTATTATTATTGTTATAATCAAGGAGAAGCGCTAAACCCGGAGGATTATACAGCGCCTGGGGGGATGTGGAAGGCATTCAGGCTTAATTCGGGGAACTGGAGCACAGATCCAATTCCTTAAATCAAGAGCCCCTCACCAACATCAAGGAACCTTCCTTGAGGGGGTTAAATAAGATAGAAAGGGGCTTCGGCCCAGCCAACACACTGTTTTAAAATGTAGAAAATGAATTAGAATGAATTAAACGGACTATTCGTGTACAGGGGTAAATAACTACTTGACCAACCTGTGATAGAAAAGGCTTCGGAATTTTTACGAACTTTCCGGAATTAGTTGGGAAATCAAAATACTCACGTCTAGTTTGGCAGAACACAGGCTACACGCGGCTATTGTTGAGTGATGAAGCACTAGACCCGTGGCGGTCATTCAACACAAGGAGTAGTGGAAGTTCGATCCTGCATGCACTATTCATGGCAAGCTTCCTGTTCGGTCAGGCTATTGTTACTGTGCTCGGTGGCTCCACGAACCTTACGAAGTTTTCTGCAGTAGTTTCTATACCTGTTTTTCTTCAATGTTTTCATTTATTCTTCTGGGTGAGGCGCAAAAAGAGGACGGCTGTGCTTTTTTTTTTATAAGCATTCCCACCTAAGCTATATGTTAAAGCTGTATTTTAATAATATCGCTCTTTACATCATAATCTTGCATTGGATCAACAAAGCCAAGGAATGGGTAGGACTCGAACCCATGGCAAGTGAAACATACAACTCACAGGGCAGTGCGTTAACCTCTGGGCCACTCACTTGCCATGGGTTCAACCCCACCCGTTCCGTTTTCTATTTGCAATCGTGTTATTACGATTTCGTGACTAAATAATCAAGCTTTAGTTAAACATAGCTCTTGCTATTGATTAAAATAACCTTGAATTTAGATAATTCAGTTCTAAATCAAAAGGTGTAAAAGTCCTGTCATATTTCGTTTAATCAAGTGACTTTCGCTCGTTCTTCCCCCAGGGGACGTGGTTCTACCAGGTGGGGTTCGTGTTGTATCCACCGTGGACGAGGCAGTGGGACCAGCACGATCACTCGCAGATGATGATGGTGACCCTCCTCTTCACCTGGCATAATGCCACCATCTTTGTCTTCATGGCGCTAGCTGGCACCGCCATATACCTTCGTGTCAAAGCGTTGCCTCAGTCAGCTCTCTATTGCAGCCTTTCCCACCATCAGCACCACACACAGCCTTCCAGCATCACAAACTTTGATACGGAACACACCAAGAATATCCTGGAAGACTCGGACGAGGAAGAAGTCTGATTTTTCTGATCAAGAGCCAGCATCTTCAATTGCTGGGCACCAATTTTTCGAACGTCTGCGAAGGATACAGTCTCAAAATATATTACGACTAGTTGACTAGGGGTGCTAGTCAAGCTAGTTTTTTTTTTTTTTTAACATTTCAGCAATTGTTTTCTTTCAGTGCTTCTTAATATGCTTAAAAATTCACAAACAGGCGAAATTATTTACAAACATTGTCTCTACGTCCACAGCAGGACTCGAACGTGCAAACTCTGTAACAGAGTAACCAGTACTTTACCACGGAGCTAGACCCAAGAATAAAAAAGGGCGTCCAGCCGGAGCCAGATCGATGTATATTTCCCAATACCCCCGAGCACCAAGCTCGTTTTGAAAGTTATTTCATCGAATCCTGCACAGAGTTTGCAGGTTCGAGTCCTGCTGAGGACGTAGTGACAATGTTTGTATATTTCATATATATATATATAATATATATATATATATATATATATATATATATATATATATATATATATATATATATATATATATATATATATATATATATATATTTATTAAGGGCTAAACCCATGTGGATCCTTCAGTGCAAGATATGGTGGAGGCATTCCCGAAAGGGTACCTTTGAGTGGCTCAGATATATTTTCTGAAGCGAAAGTTTCCAGCAAGGTTGGTGTCCTCTAGTCAATTTTATATAGACCATCCCCTCATTTTAGTCTCAATACTATAATTTAAGAATGTATTTTTCGATGGGGTGGTGTATCTTACTAAGGTGATGATTGGAATTGTTACTGGAGTGTGTAGGGGCCAATTTGTCAAATATATTTTCAGAATGATGTATTTTTTCTTTAAATAGCTTGAGTATGCCTTTTTTGAACAGTATCAATGTCTAATGGCTGATGCATCTTATAGATAACACCATGTAACAATACTTTGACCATACTAACCAATACTTTGACCATACTAATGAAGTTAATAAATTTAGAAATATTGGATTTAGAGCTATAACTGTAAATTGCCTCTTTTGATAAACAAATTGGTTTCTACTCAAAATGTGGAGAAAATGTTAGATTTCTCACCTGAAACACTGGTGAATATTAAATAAATTTATGGACTGTTTAAGTGCCAGTTCGTCAAACTCATTTATATATATGTATATACTGACGAAATGGGTAAAAAAGACGTAAATGAATAATACTTAGGACATATTAGATACGTTTCGGTCCTGGGACTGGAAAGTATCAGTAAAAACGTTCTAAGTGTACAAGTCCTTGTGTTCCTTTCATCTTTAATGGTTTTCATGCGGTGATTCGTGTCTCATCCGATCGGCTTCAAACCCGATGTATGTCTCATAGAAAAAGTTTTTTTTTTTGTGGGGTCTGCGTAAATACCAATTTGATAAAAAAAAAAAATTCGTCAAACCCTTATCTATCCTAGTCTATTAGCCCACAGGAGTTTCTTATGAAAGCAAAAATTCAGTATATTTTCTTACAGGATTACAGACAATTTGAAATTCAATATAACAGAAAAGAAATCTGGGAAATAATTATATCGCGTTTTCACCGCATTGTTAAGCATCATGAGTCAAATGCGCCCTTAAATATTATATTTTGTACAGCTTTATTGCTGAGCCGGTCATATATTCCGGCATAATTTTCTCAGTCCAAGATTTTCGTTTATAACTTGATAATGTTTCACTCAATTGGTTTCAAATTTTCAATACTAGTGAACTAGAACTATTGGAAGGTTCATGGGACAAATGGGGTGAGTAGGTGCCTTTTTATCAATTTTATAAAGCCATTCCAGTTTAGTTTCCGTGTGGAAACCGGAGAAAGCCACATCTGTTTGGCTCAAAATTTTCAACACTGGCATATCTTACCTTTCCTTATAAAAATGTGTAGAATGTTATTGGAAAATCTAGGAGGCAATTTGGGAATCAAATTTTTTAAATAATATGATACTTTCTTGAAATAATTTAAGCCTATGCTGAATGACTTCAATTTAACTTTACAGGTTGATATATCTTATGAAAGCCATGAAACCTTTTAGGTTTAGGTGCAAAGGTGCAAATTTTCCAATTAATAATTAATTTGGAACTATTGGATTCCGTGTGATAATTGAAGAATGCCCCTTCTGGCCAACTACGAAATTCTAACACTTGTTTTTCTCCAAGGAAGGTATTCATTGATTTTTGGTAAGGTATTAATTTGCCAATATTTATATAAGAACTTCTATGCAGTGACTTGAAATACCTAGTCTCATAGACTCTGAATCTTAAACCCTTCAATATCTTACTTAGAAAAAAGTTAAGCTTGATTTTATGTGTAGATGCAAATTTATTAATTGATAATTTGTATCTGCATCATCCGATCAGCGTCACGCCTTCAACGATGATAAGTAGAGAATGCAACTTCTAAGCGTCTTCAAACTTAAAGTACTGGTGTCCTTAGGCATTTTGGTCTCTGTACGATAACTAGTGAATACCTTTTATAATAGAATTTAAACATTCATTGCCAGTTCATATGTTTTAGTGGAAATTTCAAATTGGTTTGGGCTGTATAAGTGGAAATTTTTCATTTTTACTGAGGAAATTGAGATATTTGTTTCCATGTGATAATCTGTGAATATCTATTATTTTGATTGTAATTTTTCAAATTTAAATTACATTAGAAGCTTATGCCACACTACGTATGAGTGTGTGTGTGTGTGTGTTTATTACCATTTTGTCCTAGGCACATGTCGATTAGACACTAGGCCTGTTGTATATGCGTGCATGCGTGTGTGTGTGTTTGTGTGTGTTTGTATGTGTGGTGTGTGTGTTTGTACGTGTGGTGTGTGTGTGTGTGGTGTGTGTGGGGGTGTGTGTGTGTGTGTGTGTGTGTGTGTGTGTGTGGTGGTGGTGTGTGTGTGTGTGTGTGTGTGTGGTGTGTGTGGTGTGTGTGTATGGTGTGTGTGTTGTGTGTGTGTGGTGTGTGTGGTGTGGTGTGTGTGTGTGTGTGTGTGGTGTGTGTGGTGTGTGTGTGTGTGTGTGTGTGTGGTGTGTGTGTGTGGTGTGTGTGTGTGTGGTGTGTGTGTGTGTGGTGTGTGTGTGTGTGTGGGTGTGTGTGTGTGTGGTGTGGTGTGTGTGTGTGTGTGTGTGTGTGTGGTGTGTGTGTGTGTGTGTGTGTGTGTGTGTGGTGTGTGTGTGTGTGTGTGTGGTGTGTGTGTGTGGTGTGTGTGTGTGTGTGTGTGTGTGTGTGTGTTAGTTACCATTTTGTCCAAGGCACATGTCGATTAGACACTAGGCCTGTTGTATATGCGTGCATGCGTGTACTCACCTATTTGTGGTTGCAGGGGTCGAGTCTTAGCTCCTGGCCCCGCCTCTTCACCGGTTGCTACTGGGCCCTCTCTCTCCCCGCTCCATGAGCTTTATCAAACCTCGTCTTAAAACTGTGTATGGTTCCTGCCTCCACTACGTCATTTTCTAGGCTATTCCACTGCCTTACAACTCTATGACTGAAGAAATACTTCCTATCTCTCTGACTCATTTGTGTCTTCAACTTCCAATTGTGGCCTCTTGTTTCTGTGTCCCCTCCCTGGAACATCCTGTCTTTGTCCACCTTGTCTATTCGACGCAGTATTTTATATGTCGTTATCATGTCTCCCCTGACCCTCCTGTCCTCCAGTGTCGTCAGGCCGACTTCCCTTAATCTTTCTTCATAGGACATTCCCCTTAGCTCTGGAACTAACCTTGTCGCAAACCTTTGTACTTTCTCTAGTTTCTTGACGTGCTTTATCAAGTGCGGGTTCCAAACAGGTGCTGCATACTCCAGTATGGGCCTGACATACACGGTGTACAGTGTCTTGAATGATTCCTTACTAAGGTATCGGAATGCTGTTCTCAGGTTTGCCAGGCTCCCATATGCTGCAGCAGTTATCTGATTGATGTGTGCTTCCGGAGACATGCTCGGTGTTATACTCACCCCAAGATCTTTCTCCTTGAGTGAGGTTTGCAGTCTTTGGCCACCTAGCCTATACTCTGTCTGTGGTCTTCTGTGCCCTTCCCCTATCTTCATGACTTTGCA